AAACGAGTTGAAAATTAATCAAAGTTTACGAAGGATTAAGGGTTACTTAAGGATCAGGCAGCCACGAAACTTGAACTATACCAAATTATAGTATTGACATTCCTTGTTGAAATTAAATATAGGTGAATTAATATATGGTCATAGCCGGCCTTAGATAAAAGCCACCAAAACAAGGGCTCTAGTCTCAAATTTTCATAGGTTTCATAATTTTATAATAATAATATAATCATTTATATTAAAAATATACAAAATTTAAGATAATTAATAAAATATTTACATATTTTATCGTATCTAATAAATATTTTTTTCACTTACTTCTACATCTCCATTAATTCTCAACTATTTATCTCATTTTTTACTAAAAATATATAAAACTTAAAGTAATTAATAAAATTATATATTCTCTTACTTTCCTAGTTATGTGATTAATAAATTTCAATTTTTTATCATTTCTCAATTCTCATAATATTATTAATTCTCAACTATTTCTTTTTTATTTTCTTAATTTTAATAAAAAAATCTCATTTGAATATTTAGCTTTATACTTTTGAAATTATTGAGCTGCTCTTGTTTATAACTTTCATATTATATTCAATCCAAAGTTTAAATAGTTAAATGGTTAGGTTGTCATGACTTCAATAATCACCCTTTTATAATTAATTGAATTGCCTTATTGAATTATTTTCTCTTAACATATGACATTTGCAGTGATCTCACAATCGATGCATCTGAAAACATCTCCCCTTTCAATTCACGATGAGCTTCACGATAATACGCCACCGTTCACTTATTTTATAGGTCATCGCTTCTTATCCTACTCAGCCATGGGGAGCCATGAATGATCACCATGTTAAACCACATGATTGGAAAATCGAAAATTTTAGAAAAAAACGATTTCAGCGTATGTATCCATAACACTTTTTTTTAAGATTTTAATTATTTTTTTTAATTATTTATTTAGGATTTAATTATATGGTATAAATTTCGAGAATATATGAAATTTAATGATTTACTACGTGTTGTGTTGATAAATCAACTCATTGAATACTATTCAATGTATAACAAAATTATCAAATTCTTATAAAATTTTTTTATAACAAAATAATATGAAAGTAATATGAGAAGTATAATTTGGAGAAATGTTGGTATATTTTTAAAAAAATCAAAAAAATCTTATTTATAGATAAAAATATCTTTTCATACAAATATAATTATTTAAAACAAATAAATTTTTTTTAAATAGACTTAACTATTTGAATAAATATAGTTGTTTAAAAAGATTTTCTTCTTCTTTTAATTTTTGTCAATGTAAGATTGTGTTTCACGTTATTATTATTAAAAATATCCAACACCCGTATGAATGTAAAATCAAAACAAAAAAGGAAAAACAACGCAAACATGGAGGTTAATTAGCTAGTCTAAATGAAATTTCTTTTCAAAGGGTTTTAGCCATTTGTTCTAAACTAATCATGGTTCAATTTTGTAACTTCAATATAATGACTCGGATTTAGAGTACATGTTGAAAACTTTGACAAATTAAAAGAAAAAGAAAAAAAATATGAAGGCACAAACAACTCGTATGAGAAACCGAATCAGCTTTGTAATTAATAATGTGTTAGCCAATTGGGAAAAGACTATATATTATGTTATGCAAATGTCATTTTCAAGTTAAATCTCCCCGTGAAACAGTACTAGTTAAATTTAAATTGCATGGAACACGTAGGGTCTATATGTATAGCACGTGTTACTCCATGGTTTAATTAGTCAACTACCCTTTGAATTGTTGATCACTTCTGAACTAGCTAGTGCTATATTGATTGAGTCCAACGAACCTTTCTTAGTGTATCTGGCAAAAAATGAACGCATTAGCCCAAAAAACAGCACACGTAAGTGGGCTTGAAGTTATCGATCCATGAAAGAAAATATTCAACAAGTAGCTTTCAGATTTAATTGCTTGGACGGAGAGGCGTTTTCCTTGTTTTTCCTTTTGTAATCTTGTTGTTGGGTTGAATTCTCCTCTCATTTAATGCAACTCAAGGTACACAGTTAATAAGACGGACAATACAAATCATTACACACTGTTATGCCACCTTTTGTTTCACCGACCATTAGATCTAGCTATTTCGAGAGCATTGAAATTGAAAAAAGAAAATTAAATATTGATAAAAAAATATGTGAATAGTTGTTTTTAATGCATTTGAATTTAATGAAAATAATTTATTAAGAAATATATATATTTTTTAAAATAGTGTGTCCACCTGTATTTATTAACCAGATCAAAAATATGCAAGGATTTAGACAAAAGGTTGTGACACATTGACTTTTCTTACTCAAACAAATAGAGTTATTATTCTTCGAGGATTGAATTTGTCTGCTTTGACTTTCACTTGAGTATTGGAAAGCTGGGTTAAGTATTCAAGTTTTGATAGCATGTTTTGTTGGAGCATTTCGTACAGATTTTGCCATCATCGCGTATTTCTTTTTCGGATTATTGCGACTTTCATTTAACGACAGAGGGAATTATAAGCATGTACTGACTGGACGAATTTATGTTTGCGTTAATGCGTGACTTAGACATTTCGGACCCTTGGGCCCTTTTTTTCAAACACGAACCTCATATCATGTTGACAGCAGCAAATGAGAAAACTGGGCGCAGAAAACAGTTGTACTGGATAAACAAGTTCCCTTGACGGAAAAGGTGAGAAGCTCGTGGTCAGATTTGAGAGATCATCGTCATTATATTATATCAACGGCTGCCCAATAATCCTTCCCTCATCTGATTAGGAAGCAGCGTAGCGTCCTTCGAATATTTTTCTCCCCCAAGAAAACGAACCATTTATCTTTGACTTCCAATTCCGATATTTGATCTTTGACTCAAAGCATGATTTTCAGTTTTCCCATTTTTTCTTAAGCCTGAAAATGCAGTCCTGGTTGGAATTATTACCTTGGCATCACAGTTACATAGAATAAACCCATTCAGCCAAAAAAAAAAAAACCTTACAAGGTATAGAATTCCCTGACGTGAAGGTATAAATTAAGTATATAAAATAACCAAATCCATTGGATAAAAGTATAAGAAATGCATGAATAGTGCGACAATTGATCGCTATAAATGAAGCGGAGAACTTTGCCAAAAAAGCCATCACCACCACTTGTAATTGAAAATTAATATACTCTTTGGACCCAAGACATTCTCCAGTATTAGTATAAGCTTAAGAGAATGAATTTGGAATTAAAAATTGTATATATAGTCTTGAAAGTAATTAATAGGAAGATAAGAAAGATTAATTTAATTATATGCTGTATGACTGCTCCCGAACTACCCATGTATAAATGTTAACCAACCCAACTTTTAATGGTGAGTTGGTGAGGAGAATTAAGTAGTAATGTTTTATTTTCTTCTTCTCAAGCCTTTTTGCATTTTTTAAAAACTCACTATAGACTTGACCATTGAATCTCTCTATAAGCATGACGCTCGAGGGAGGGATTGTTGGCAGAAATCTTAATTCCTTTCAAACCAGACCTCGCACAAATCTAAGACCCAATTAATTATATGTAGTTTAGTAAATAAGTTAACTCGAGACTTTTCATACATATTTAATTTGTTTTAATTAATAATACTCTAAATAGGTGGCGACAATTTCACTTCATTCTATATTTTTTTTTTACAAAAAAGGTGTGGGGGGGGGGGGGTGTATCATGAGTCAATGACTCATATGTTAAATTAAAAGATAAGTTTATAATCAATTTAATGTCATAATTTTATATAGGAATCAACATGTATATAAAATTCCAAATTTCATACATATATATTGTAATGAAATTATAATTAATTCCTAGGGAAACAACAGTATTTTGGACTTCTAAATGCTAATAGGTTGTTAATTAGTATTAAATTTTCCGGCTGTTCTTAAAATCTGCTGAATACTGTGATTCAAAGGATTGGACTTTGTGCCTTTCATCATCTCTTTAAACAATAGTACAATTAAATTTAAAAAGATCAGGTTACCTTAAAAGTTGTTTTAAAGCCTAAAGGGTAAAACCGCCTTTGTACGATAACGTTTCACACATGAGAAAGTGTGCGTTCATAAACTTTGATAATAAAGTTGTACTAACAAAGTATACAAATTAATTAATGAGCTTCATGGACATTAATATTATCCAGTGGCGGGTATGCTTAACGTGTTTTCACATGATCGTTTTTAGTGTTAAATACTTCAATTTGACTGCGCTTGACCTTTCTCATCTGCTATTCCAAAGGGTGGAAAGCCCCCTCTCCAGTCAAACACTTGTACTTATAAAACCATTTCGTAAAAATAAAAATAAAACCCAAACGAATTCCACTTTCCACAGTCCAAACCTTAGAAATTCGAATGCGTTTCTATGGTCGAGGCTAAAGAGTAAAGCCCAAGGATTTATGGTCACAAATTCTGTTAAAAGAAATTTATTTGCTTTAATCGGGGCGATTAAGCTTCCTAGAAATTCACGGAATTGAAAAAAGTCCACGTCCAGTGTGGAAGCCAGCTGTAATTTCAGTCAAAGGATCCGACGTGGAGGCATTCGATTGAGCTGGAGCTCAAGAAAGTACGGGGCGGCGTCTACACCAGAGCTATATCCGACCGTGTGTGTTTAAGCCGCAAGGGGACCAAAGGGAAACCAATATTTGACAAAAGACAAATGCAAGAGGTCGACAAAACCAAAAGCAACAGCAACATACATTAATTTATTTATATATGAAATATTTATTATGCAATTAGTATTAGTATTATTTATTTTTATACAAAAAAAAAAAAGAAGAGAAAGACAGTAGGGAAAAACAAAAGCAGATCTTTTTAAAAGATTCAACAGGAAAGCCTCGAAAAACGTTGAAATCCAAAAATGGTTGGGGCAAATGACAAATAGTCAAAACTCCGACATTCTTGAACTGCCCCTGTCATCATCTATAAATACCCACTTCATGCTCTTCCTCATTTATCAAATTTACTCCAAACAAGCTGATATCTTAAGGTGCTTATACAAAGAGCTAGCAACAGAGAGAGAGAGAGAGATAATGGGGTTTTTCAAACTATCCCAAACTTTTCTCAGCTTTGCCATGCTCACTTTTCTTCTCTATTTCTTCTTGAGATTGTTATTCTCTTGCTGGATCCTGCCCATGCGAGCTTATCGTAAGATTAAGAAGAATGGGTTTGGAGGTCCAGCTCCTAGTTTCCCTCTGGGAAATATTAGAGAGATGAAAAGTAATAAGAATATTAATGATTCTTCACTTGGATCCTCCGGTATTTCCCATGATATACATGCTACTGTGTTCCCTTACTTTGCTCGGTGGCAAAAATCTCATGGTCAGCCTTTGATTCATACTACATAATAATAAAAACCCTTAATTAGTTAAATAACTACGTTTACTCTTTTTTTCTTCTTTTTTTTTTTTTCCTTCTTCATGGTTCGTTTTCTTTGGTTGACTTGACTTTTGTTGGCAGGAAAAGTGTTCATCTACTGGCTGGGGACGGAGCCATTTTAATATATTGCCGAGCCAGAGTTCCTCAAAAAAATGTCGTCGGGAGTCCTGGGAAAGAGCTGGGGAAAACCCAATGTCTTTAAACATGACAGAGAGCCTATGTTCGGAAGTGGTTTGGTCATGGTTGAAGGAGATGACTGGGTTCGCCATCGCCATGTTATTACTCCTGCATTCTCTCCAGCTAACTTGAAGGTCTCTCTTAATTTTCTCTCCTTCTCGCACACCTTACTAAAATGAAAAAGAAAAATTCTAAGGCTCCATCACATACACTTTCCGTGGTGGACAAAGTATGCGTTAATTTTGTTGATAAAATGCATTTTCAACAAGTGACAGCGTTTCCCAAGTGTAATAAAAGTCTAAAATTGTAAAGTAGGAAACCTTTAGTCACGATTCGTCAACCTGAAGATGGGGTTAAGTCTTTACACAATGGTCACGAAAACTATATATACTAACTTTAAATGGGAAAGACTACATTCATTATAGAGGATTTATAATAAAAAAAATAAAAGTGGACAAATTAAACATCATTACATAATCTCTTTGTTTAAAGAGTAAAGATTCAAATGTCTTTTTCCATACTCAAATAAAAAAAAAATTAAACATCTTTGCAAATTGAATGTACACTTATGTATCATTGTTGGGTTTTAATTTTTTCTTCTGTTCTGGATAAATGAATAACAGCTTAGTTTTGTAATAGTGATCTTATTTGTAAATTCAAATGCTTTTTCTTTTACTTGAGTTTTTCAAGGGTATGAAGTCGAGAATTGGCTCTAATTTTCCTCACATCATAGTACTAAAAATGGTAGTAGTAATTAAACATGCTGAGTTATATTTCTTTTGATAATGCAGGCTATGGCAAGCTTGATGGTGGCACCGGCCAAGAAGATGCTAGACAGGTGGGCTACCCTTATAAATTCTGGTAAACCAGAAATCGACGTTGAAAGAGAAATCATAAAAACGGCCGGGGAGATCATTGCGAGGACAAGCTTTGGCTTGAGCTACGAGAGCGGGAGCAAAGTGCTCGAGAAATTGAGGGCCATGCAAATCACACTTTTTAACTCCAACCGCTACGTGGGTGTTCCTTTTAGCAAATTCATGTGCCCTAAGAAAAACCTAGAAGCCAAGAAACTTGGCAAAGAAATAGACCAGCTCCTTTCGTCCATCATAGATGCTCGTAAGAAGTCTTCGGATGGATCTCCTCAGAAGGACTTGCTCGGTTTGTTGATGGAAGGAAGCCATGTCGACGGACGGGTAGGGAAGAGCTTGACGGCAAGGGAGCTTGTTGATGAGTGCAAGACTTTCTTTTTTGGTGGCCATGAAACCACCGCATTGGCACTCACGTGGACGTTTCTGCTTTTGGCCATGCATCCAGATTGGCAAAACCAGTTGAGGGAGGAAATCAGAGAAGTGATTGGAGATGATGAAGAGATCGATTTCACCAAGCTTGCTGGCTTAAAGAAGGTAATATACATAAGATACATGCACCATGTGATCTATCACTTTTGATTAATATTCTTCTTTTTCCTTTTCTAATTTGATGATGACAAAAAAGTTCAATCCAATCCGTTTCTCTCAATTTACACATATGTTTCCCGAGTTGTAGTCTGAGAATTTCCCTATATCCTGAATGAACTAAATTCTTGATCCTTGTCGAGTGGAAAGTTGACATTCCACGTCAAAGGTCAAAATTAACGTGTCTGCAGCATATCACATGCGGAAACAAACTACTCCTTTTTGACACTTTGGCAACTTCCAATAGTTTGGATTTTGTCCCCAAAAAAACCAGGAAGTTGAATTGACGGTGCTAGTGACACTTCATAACTAGTTTGGTTAATTTAGGCTCCCCAGTCCCAGCCGGCCAACTCGAAGTCTTCTTGAGTCCAAGCCATATCATTGATTTTGTTTTTATATATTGCGTGGACAAATGTCATGGTTGATATAGAAAATATATATTCCTCTTACGTATTAAATAAACGAATTTCAAGTGCAAATAAATATATATATATATGTATGTATTTCTCTTCTTATTTGATTTGTTCTTTTTCCCTTTTTGTTTAATTCGGGTAAGGATTAATTCTTACGAAGATATACTTTTGGTTATGATTGCAGATGGGATGGGTGATGAATGAGGTGCTAAGGCTATACTCTCCAGCACCAAATGCACAAAGGCAATCAAGAGAAGATATAAAGGTGGATGATCTTGTTATCCCTAACGGAACCAACATGTGGATCGACGTCGTAGCCATGCACCATGATCCGGTAATATGGGGAGATGACGTTAACGAGTTCCGGCCGGAGAGATTTAAGGACGATCATCTATACGGGGGTTGCAAGCATAAGATGGGGTTCTTGCCCTTTGGGTTTGGAGGGAGGATGTGTGTTGGGAGGAATTTGACAATGATGGAATACAAAGCTGTCTTGACCCTTATACTCACTAGGTTTTCCTTCTCCCCTTCTCCAAGTTATCGTCATTCACCTTCTATTTTGCTTTCCCTAAGGCCTAGACATGGACTGCCTCTCATAGTTCAACCCCTTTAGGCTCCTTTTTCCCTTCTTTTTCGTTTCCTGTGGTATATTCGGATTAGATTAGGAGAAGAGTAAAGTTCATAAACCTCAATTAGTTATTAGAATGACTTAAAAATTGAAGACCAAGCTTGCATTCTCTTCTTCTGTATTTGTTTATTTCTTCATATATGTACGTATTGTTTGCGCCACGTATAAACAAGGCGTTCAAACTTTCTTTAATGTTTATGTATTACAATAAATGGAAAATAAAAGTAAAATTCAGTTTCTCTAAATTCATTGTCTGTTTATACCTAGTACATCATCCAAGTTTGTCTATAACTTGAACATATACTCATATATACAAATATATATAGGATTTTTTGTACAGGATTTGGAGTATTTAATACTCTGTATGTGTTCTTCCATCAGTGTCACCCAGGAATATTTATACAACCCTGACATGTTGTAAATTTTATACACACACACACAAAAACAATTTTTTTGCTTTCAAATACATTAAATGCAGTTTATCTGAACTTTAGATGTTTCTTTTTGTATGATTTTGCTGCATCGAATTTCTGGTACTGTATTTGGGGTTTGGAAAAGCTAGCTGAGACACAGATGGGTTGGTATTTGTTTAGTGGGTAAAGGAAAGGTTTAGTAACCTTATCATTTTGTATGGAGGGGATCTGCTTCTTGTGTTTCTGGATTGCTGGATGTCTGTGGCTTCCTAATACTTATGTCTACAGGGGAGTGAAGTTATTTTTGTGTGCACTTCAAGCTCCCATATGTACAGAGCATATCTTTATTAATAGAAAAGCAGCTATTCAAAAAAAAAAAAAATCATTATACACATATATTATTTTCTTTTAAATTATTGGATGTCAGTATTTAATTTGAATAAACACTAATTGGGTCTTCATGATCACTCAAAATACTTTCTGCCATCTTCATTAATAGTGTATCCAAGAAATTATCTTATTGGTTTACTGCATATCGTATCATTTCTAATTGAAAACGGAGAGAATGAATTCAAACTCAGGACCCACGCATCAAAAATGGGTCTTTAACAACAATTCTTACAGTTAAACAAACAAATAACATCATAATCATGATCTTTTAACTACCAACGAAAGACCAGTCTGATCGCTAGCTAAAGAATTTCCAAGTCGTGAATCATTCCTGAGCTAGGGGGCCAACTAAAGAAATACGAGGAAGGGGACTTACAGCTTCTCCATTTGTTAAAAAAGTCTAGGACAGAACTAAGATTCTGCGGACTAATTACACCATTCAAGTTCAAACGAAATGCCGAAAGCTATCTCATGATCGATCAAAGTTCAAGTGCCGGTCTTGACCGGAGCTCTGAAAAGACCAGCAACACGTTATTTCCAGCTCTCCGTCAACAAAACCACAGAAAGGTCATTATGTCTTTTGTGACTCTTATCCAACTAAGTCGCGCGTAGTCATAATCCTCTTGTGAATTGATCGTGAGCAAGTAGCATGCTTATAATCAATGAGGCAGTAATTGTTCAAGCAACATAATCAAGTTCAAAAGATTACAGATCGCGTCACGATGGTGCAGTGTCCCTATCAATTTGGTTCAGAACTCACATCAAGCTTTTATTTAAATTCTGTGATAGTTTTTGACTGGATTTCTCCAACTGTGTCCAGTGTCCAAGCAGTTTATTTGGGGAATTCTGTGGGCGATGTTGGGGCTTACAGCTTCCCATCTACTTGGATAGTGGATGTTTCAAGTAGTTTTACTTTTTTCTTAAGGTGTTTTGCCGGGCTTGAACTACGGACTTCCAAGTTCCAAATCCCCAATCGGTAGGCCCTGATTCTCTCCTTCGTCTCCATCAAATGTCAAATTGTCATCTATAATTGACGACGACACTGACTTCATACAAATCCACCCTTAAAGGGGCTTACTGTTTAAGATGCGACCCGTCAGGGTCAGGCCACTTTTAATTTTCTGCTTAACTTCTTTGTGTAATTTCCCGGTCTGCCAAAAACCACAACATCCTGGGCGACAAGAAAAAGTTAAAAAAGAAAAAGCATCTCACTCTGATCCTGTTGCCGACTATTCTGGAAGCAGACGTCATGTTGCAGCTACATATTTTCTACAGTGTAGTGGGCAGTCCAGTATATCACAAGATAACGTCAGTTTCTCTCTCACAAACAAGAATTTGACAAGAGAATTGTATTTTATTATCATGGAAACCATCCTTGCAATGATTTATCTAAAAAAACAAACCATCCTTACAATGTTCAATCTTTCATCAAACTAGAACTGGCACCTAACCTGGTTCCACTATCAGAAGACACCTGGTCTCATAAAATTTGAGCAACCTTAAAAGAGGGGCAAGCTTGTAGGGAAGCGCACATGCATCCATTGTCTTTCGTATCTTGACAAATGGCTCCATCCAATATCATCTAGCAAAGTGAGCTTCAATTCATAGAATTTCTTCTTTGGAGGCTCTCCATCATCCTGAATCATGTCATTTAGAACCTGCGACAGCAGATTTTAAAATTCAAGAAAAGGTCTTGGCACTTGTTTACATTTTCATTTAAAGAACTATCTCCATCCAACATAAAGGAAATTACCACATTCACAATCGACTAACGCACCAAAAGTGAAAATAAAACCTTATCAACGGCCCAAGACACTAACGAGCAAGTGCAAAGAAAACATCAAGGGATTAGAAAATCATTCCATACTTTTCTTAACTCAAATATGCTTCATAAAACTTTTATGCAGGCCGACAAGTGTCAAAGCATCAGTCACTTAAAATTTCAACAATTCAAGTTTCTCAGAGTCCTTATTCGTTTCCCCTCCATATTTTCTTTCCCTTGCTGGTGGTTTAGTGGCTTTTGTTGAAAGAAGAGATGAGGGAAAAAAAAAAAGAAAGAGAGGGGAGGGGGTGTATTTCAATATCCATGTTCAAATGGACCTCCCAAAATTTGAAATAAACAGTAAATCCACAAACAAGAACCAAATAAAAGCAGATAACAGTAACTAGACAGTCCTACTTTCTTTTTCAAAAATCATAAATAACTAGAATGTGCTGCTTGGATTATCATGAGATAAAATACCTTTAGAGCAGTTCCAAGCCTTCCAGAGCGTCTCTCACGTAATACAGAGAGAGTGCCATATTTAGAGGACTTCAGGTCTACCCATTTATTCAGTTCTTTAAAGTTTTCCTCAAATAAGTCTGACTGGATATCTATCCCTTCGTCACCAGCTTGATCAACGTCTTTGGTGCCTTCAGTAACCAAGGCTGAAGCTTTCTCGCCCTATAATGGTGATGGCAATAAATTTAAATTCTAATGAAGATTATAAACTACCATAACTGAGTTTGTTGGTATAACTATCATATATTTGCAGATATTAACCCATTTTTTAATAAAAGAATCTAATAATCTCAGAAAATGAAAAAGCTATAAAAAGATGAATTACAAGAAAAGAATTTGTTATAGACTAACATGGGATGATTGGGGGAGGATTTATGGCAGTAGTAAATCTTTGATTACATATAACTTTTAAGATATTTATGGAAGCAGAACATAAGCAGGTGATACATGTACCAGTCACTACCTTTAAAGATTCAATCTCAGCCAGTGCCAGTCCTTTTTGGTACAGTGCCTCAGCTAATTGATCACGAGTTGTCTCCATCTTCTTCTTATTTTTCTGAGGAAAGAATAAAAAATGGAAAGGTGGAAACCTTATGCATTTGAGGGAACAACAAACTAAGCAAGAAAAAAGCATAAAACAAAAAGAGATGAGATAGCAGATGGAAACACATTGGAGACCATCAGAATTCTTGAAAAATAAAAATTAACAAAAGGACATGTTTAGCAACTTTAATTGTGACAATATTCTTTGCTCAATTCCTACAAGGATTTTGGCCAGCATAGAGCAAAATGACAGAAAGCACAGGGGGGAGGACAATTGGCAATTTGAATTCGCACCTCTGCCTCCTCGTCTTCTGGATCACTTTTAAGAGAAAAGAATTTTGCCAGTTCGTCTCTGTCTATACTATCAACCACCTCATTTGCTGCATCTATAACCTGCAAAGTTCCATTATATTAGTGACGATTATCTGTGTTAGACCCTTTCAGTTGGAGAATTGTTAAGTTGAACTCACGACCCAGATTATTAGTCTCATAGCTGCTACTTATGTTGTTTGATGTTCTAAATCTTAAACTTCTAGCTGGAATTAATATACTCTGGCTGGTATGTTTTGCTAAACACAAACTTCAAACTTCTTCATAGCTACAGCTTATAACATCAGAAAAAGTCCATGCAAAGGCCTAAGTCTTTGAGAACAACCAAGCCCCCACTAGTACCAAGTGAGGGTTAAAAAATTTTAGGACTTTGTCGGGCTAAGAATAAACTTAAACATTACTATGCTTAAATAAAAAAATAAATTAAAGAATGTGGAGGCTAACAACTTTAAAGGGGAAATTCTTTCCATGCAATATAAATCTGACAAAAAAAGAACCTATTTTTAAAGTATGCAATACATCATTTTTTAGCATCTATTGCAAATTAAGTTAAAATCTAATTAGAAGCAACTGATGTGATTTACTGTATTACGTATCTAAAGCTAGTTCAAATTTGCTTTCATATTTATTCCAGAACAAAGTAAAACCAAAATTATATCTTCTATAAAACTTTAGAAACAGAAAGCATAAATCATGCAATTGAGATTCACATAAATCTCATTGCCACCTTAGGACACAACAACCAAGCAATTGAGGAGGAATTACGTGGCAGCAAACCATAACTCAAAACAAAGAGGGAGAAACCTCAACAAGACGCTTTCCCAAGCAGACTCAAGGGAGCCATCAATGTTGGTTCATACCAAAATCTGCTTTTCATAAGACTCACCTCTTCATAATGGTGGATTTTGTCCCCAATATTGCTCTGGGAAAGCAAACTTTCCAAGATCTTCACAAGCAATGGAGTGTATTTAGGGTATTCAGACTGCCAAAGAACACATAAGACATATTCAAATTGATACAAAGCACTAACGACAGCCTAAAACAAGAAGTTACAAAATCTAAAAATAAGTACTATCTGTTTCTTACAATAAGAATAGTGGGATAGCAATATGCACCTCTAGACCTAGATGTCATATTGAACA